TTTCCACAAAATTTATAAAGGACAAGAACGCCTTCACCACGTTATATACGTCCGCACAAACACCGAACCAGCACGGGCCTGGTCCTCACAGATATGCTGGACAAGAAATTTCCGCAGGGTGATGCGCAGTCCCAATTAAAAACTTCAAAACTTGAGGAGCACCGAAAACACTTTCACTTCACTTCACAATTGTGTGCAATTATACTTCTGAGTTGCTTGCATATGCAGCAACGTGTGATGTCTTGAATGACACGTACTGCAATTAAACGGACTGGTACATTTAGTGACCGTATGTCCGGCTGACAAGCAATTCAAGCAACTGTGGATGCTCTTAATAAATTCGAGCCGCTTTAGTGGTGTTAAATCGTGAAATTTGTCACACCTTTTTAGCCAGTGCTCATGGCTATGGCACATTTTGCATATGGGGTTTTCCACGCTGGCTTGGAAGGCGACAAACCTTTTTGGAGTCCATTCTGAAGACTGATGTATGTTTTGTGGCTTAGGGGCTTTATTTGGCTTGCTCTCCCTAATGTCTTTTACTGTCTCCAGGGTCTGAAACCTACTTGATAAGCACTTATCCATGTCCTCCCATTTTGATACTTCCATTCTTTTCTCTATGGTTTGCTCCCATAGTGCCAGTGTATGTTCTGGCAGTTTTGTCGAGCACAGATACGTGAATATCGCATCCCAGCTGGAAATGTAAATCTGGTGACATTGAAGCGCCGAGATGCAGTTGTTGATATCACGTTGCAGCTTCTTAATGGAGCTACCGCATTCACTCTCAACTGCTTTCAAATTAAATAAAATCCTCAATTGACTATAGACCAGAATACGTTTGTTTTCGTACCTGTCGCACAGATTTTTCCATGCGGTTTGAAAACCATCATTGGTCAACTGACACCTTTTGTACAATTTCTTTGGCCTCCCCTTGCGTTTTTTGTCTGAGGTAGTACAGCTTCTCAACAGGGGCAGGCGCTTATTAAGGATATATATGGGCGTAAACATATCCCTAAATGACGGCCATGAAAGGTAATCCCCTTTAAATATATCCGTGTCATACGGAGGCAGATGAATATTGAGCCTGCGACCAGACATATACTCACTTTCCTTTTCAGTCTTTGCATGTTGCTCTAAAAGTTCAGCCATTGCTGCTTGGCACCGCAAAAAACTAAAGTATGTGCTTTTGTACTTCTTTTTTATTGAAGTCAGGTCTTTACTATCGAGCTCTTTTGAAGCGCAGAGTTCATCATAGTACCCCTTCACCTTTTCCCATAGCGCCTTCAGTTCCTCTTTTTGTAAAGCTAAGGAGTGCTTTGTGTGTTCTGATGGCTGCATTTAGTTATAGTCAGATTCGAACTCTGCTACTGCATCTGCCTGGCGAATAAAAGCATCCATTTTTCCTTTTAAGGTGCGTTAAATTTGAACAATGAAGATTTTTTTTTTTGTTCGAAAGAAAATTGCGAATAAATCTGATCGCAGGTTTGATTTTGAATTTATTTAATTAGAATTGCAATCGACGTGAAAAATATTGACACCTGAATAGCCACACCAGTATAAAAAACCACACCAGATTAATTGAAAAGTCGAGGATTTCGTTTTCTTTTAACGACGTAATTATTAAATTTTTTATTTTTATTTTGTTTCAGCAAAGACGAGTTATATAAATGTATGTGTATGCGTATGGAAAATTACTTGCCACCCAACTCTTTATATATATATAGTGTATACAATATTGTAATCGGTCACGTCTGCCAGAAGTGAATTTTGTCGCGAAAGTGAATGTTGTGAACAAAAAGAGGCAAAAAGAGCCCGTCCTTCTCCACAATACAATATATTATGTGTGTATGTATGTTTACATGCACAATCAAATATTTGATACCCTAAAGTGAAGTGAAGTGTTTAAGGCACTAACAAACCCAATCTGTTACCAGTGACACTAAGGTGGAATTATAATTAAATATCAAAGTCAACAGGTGAAAATAATAAGAATTTAAAATTGTACGCTGCAAAATCTGCTGTATAAGTACCTATATTAAAAAGGTTAACTTAACCTCAACAACAACGTACCAAGTGAAATTTTATAGCACAAAGCTGAGAAAAGTTATTGAACCAGTGACCGGAAAAAGTTTTAATAAAAAAAATATCAACTCGAAAGTGAGATGATACGAACTAAAAAATGTGCACCGAGAAAATGATAAGAATTTAAAATTGTACGCTGCAAAATCTGCTGTATAAGTACCT